GAGGGTGCAGAATGTCTTTCCTACTAAGTCCTCAGTAGAGGTTGTATCATCTTTCTTCAATGCCTCTGCCAACAATGTCACCTTTTCCATGGAGTCCACCTAACTACACTGCAAAGTGTGTGGAATTATGTCCACTTTACAAAAGGGGAACCTGTGGCTCATGGATTTCATTGACCTGCCTCAGAGGATGCCAGTGTCACATAGTAGAGCAGAAGAGAAAGGAATCCAACTTCATCTCTTCCATGTTCTTTCCACCTGAACAGCATTTCCTGAACTTCAGACACTTACAAATGCTATTATGATTGTTGTATCTACTCATCCCCTACACTATTATTCACTCAATATTTTTAAAAGTAAACATCAACTTAATATTTACTTTGAAAAACCAAATATTCCAACATTACCTTACTTGGAAAACCAGTATCATTTACCATAAATAGAGGATGATTGTCAAAATAAAAACAAATTCTAATGAAAAATAAAAACCCAAAGTAGTAAGAATGTTATCAAATGCTAGCTATATGCTGCTATCTGTCAATGACCTTGAACCTGAGGCCTGGTTTTATTTTATTTTTTTTAAGGAAGATTAATAAATGTTGAAAAGGATTCTAAAAGTATGCTCTAGCCGAAATTGGTTTGGCTCAGTGGTAGAGCGTCGGTCTGCGGACTGAAGGGTTTCAGGTTCGATTCCGGTCAAGGTCATATACATTGGTTGAGGCAGCTGGTCAGTGTTTCTCTCTCATCAATGTTTCTAGCTCTCTCTCTCTCTCTCTCTCTCTCTCTCTCTCTCTCTCTCTCTCTCTCTCTCTCTCTCTCTCCTTCCTCTCTGTAAAAAATCAATAAAATATATATATTTTTAAAATAAAAATAAAAGTATGCTCTTCCCCTGCCTTTTGAGAAGGTTAGCATCTAACAGCATGGTATTCTTTCTCAGATATTAAACATCCTGCTTTTCATTGGAAAAATAAATTGGATACAATCATATCCCTTTGGCATGTTACATTAAGAAAAAGGAGAGTACCAAGAAGTTATCCTTTTAAGGCTGAGGAAAGCCATAATGAGGCTGATAAATTATAATAATCCAGGCTCATAGTTTCTAAGGCCACCTGATATTTTGTCAAGCATAAATTTCCTAAAAGATTATTTCTAGATATTTATGTTGCAGAGTCGAAAGATGCCATTCTGTACATTTCCTTGGTTATATTTATGACTTCTAGAACAATGTGGCTTAATAGTTTCCTTAGCAATAACTAATTTCCTTTTATAGGAACTAAAGGATAAAATGGAATTCCTGCTCTCAGTTCAGTTCAGAGTCAGAAACTGGATAACATGGTGGCCAGGCATAGAGACGGGGCCAGGCATTGGACTGGACCATATACTCTGATATTAGAGAAGCCTCTTCCTCCTCTTCAAGATATCAGGGATCAATCACCATAGCTCCACCCTCATGGGACTAGTCCAGGTGACTGACAAAGCAGATGTTTTGTTCTTGGACAGAGTCTTAGTCATAATCTGATCCTGGGGTGATGTTACCAACAAGATCCCTGGAATCTTTTTTTAATATATTTTATTAATTTTTTTACAGAGAGGAAGGGAGAGAGATAGTTAGAAATATTAATGAGAGAAAAACATCAATCAGCTGCCTCCTGCATACCCCCTATGGGGAATGTATCCAGCAACCAAGGTACATGCCCTTGAATGGTATCGAACCTGAGACCTTTCAGTCCACAGGCTGACACTCTATCCACTGAGCCAAACCAGTTTTGGCAAGAATCCTGGAATCTTGAAGGTAAATCCTCTGGGGAAAATGCAAGATAATCTCGTCTATATACTCTAGATTTCCACTTTATAGCAACCAATTCCTGAAATAAGCCCTAGGTGTGTATGTAAAGTGGACCACATTAAGAAAAAATATTTTGAAATAAAACAAGAAGAAAAAAGATCCTTCAGGTGGTATTTTTCTTCACTCGCTGAGTTTTATAGATGTATTTTTTTAAAGCTTGAGTTTAAGCTAAGAAAAGAAACCTTGCTTTTTATGGCAAGAGCTCTTGAGTAGAAAGACCACTTATAATGGAAAGCATCTTGCACCAAAGTTTTGGTAATCAGAGGGGGAACACGCAGAGTAGCTTTGTAAATTTTGACTTTGAAAGGCCAGTGTAATGTAAATATGACTTCCTAGAGTGTAAACAGCAGCGGTTTGAAAATAAAAACTTGTACAAAACAGGCAGCTATCTAGTTAGAAGAAAATGTGTCTAATAAGCATGTGTGTATGAGATGCCTTGAATATTTTCTACTATCCTGTAATTACTAAAGATGTAAAATTTCCAGGACTCTGAACCCATGAGAAAAAGAGTTTATAGGATTTTTTTCCTCCCAGAAAAAGCTTTTTGGTATTCTTTACATATTTAAAGTAACTTAAGGACACAAACCATAGTGCTCTCATGTAAATTTACATACTTGGAAATGTTTTCAATTATTAATGGATCCACAAGCTCTTAAAATTTAAAGAATCAACAATCTCTTAGACCTGTGGTCAGCAAACTGTGGCTCGTGAGCCACATGCAGCTCTTTGGCCCCTTAAGTGTGCCTCTTCCACAAAATACCACAGCCTGGGTGAGTCTATTTTGAAGAAGTGGCATTAGACGTTAAGTTCAAAAAATTTGGCTCTGATGACTAAAGAGTTTGCTGACCACTGTCTTAGACAAGGGTTAAAAATATCAATATAAAAAGCATAATTATATTTATTTGATTTAGGATCTCTATTAGATTAGATTGTAGTTATAGATTGTATTCTTTTTGAGAAAATCCAAAATCTCAACAAAAATATTATTTAATTACAAAGCTTGTCACTCACTCCGGGAGCTTCTGGATCCATTGTCCAAGCTATAAATTGTAATATGTTTAAACATATAAGTATTTTCATTTAAATCAAGACATTTATGTGCACCTACTATGCACCATAAACCATATCAGATACCGCCAGGCACACATAATAAGATTTAATTATGGTTTTAAAGGAGTTTTTAATGTAATAGAAGGCAGTAATGCTGTGCAACAACTCAAATTTTTAGCTCACACATCTGTGACCTCATCTGGGCATTGGTTGCTCCCAACAGGGCTTGGTTGAGCTTGACTCTCAGCAGCAAGTTGGAGCCAGTTCTGTCTGCTCCATTGGCTTCTCCTCATCCTAAGATCAGTGGACTAGCCAGACATGCCCAACCACACCAATGGCTTTGGGCACATCACTTTCCCTGCAATTCACTGGCCAAAGCAAGTCATGTAGCCAAGTCATGTAGAGCAAGCCATACTCTGTCGGAGAGGAAGTATCTATAAAATCTCATGACGAGGGATGTGGGATATATGAGGGATGCAAAATTGAGAAAAATAATACAATCCAAGCACACTAGGGAAAGATACATTCACAGATACCTAAATAATGAGGACTCAAAGGGAAAGGAATTAATTATGTCCCAAAGACACCAAGAAAGTGTTCTTAGAGGGGAAGGCATTTGTGTTCAGTCTCAAAGGGTGTTTGTATTTCAAGGGGTAGGCAGCGAGGTAGAGAAGACAATAATTCAAAGATGCTCTCTGAGCAAAGTTGTGGATATGTGAAGGGCATTTTCAATGTTAAGGTTATAAAGCAGTAATCTAAAAGAAGAAAATTATTGCAGTACAAAAAATATAAGCATATGAAAACTACAAATAGACACTCAGTGGAGATGTGGGTGTCAGAATTCTATGTGTTGTATGTTATTACTGAGAGTTATTTGGGGGGAAAATGAGTGTTTGAAAAGTCCCAAGATATGAAATGTGGAAAGGTACACAATGATAGAGTTTTTAAGTCTTTAGAGCTATAATTGGAGCTGGAAATGACTTTGAATTCATCTAGCCCAACTCACTATTTCAGATGAAGGAATTTCTATCTTGGAGGGGAAAAAACTACTCTCTTTCTCTCATCTATCTTTCAATCTTTTAAAGGTAGGCTCTATGTGTGTGTGTGTGCGTGCATGCAAAAACACATGTAAAATATATAAACATAGTAATTAGAGAAAATAAATGTCTTCCCAGATGAATATATCATTATAATGCAAAATATATAATATAGATACATTTGTAGAGAATAAATTCTTTCTCATGCATATATATTGTGATAGGGATATGAAGTGAGCAGACTCCTTATAGTAGTATTCTGAAGAACATAACTACTCATAAACTTAACATCACTGTGTCCTCCTCATCATGTGATCGGTTTGGTTCCAAAGACCAAATTTAACTCACATTACTTAAATGCAAAGGGAAGGGGTTATTAATATGGCCATGTGTACTCAAGGCTTAGAAGTACCAACCTGAAATCTAACAAAGGAAAGGGGTGCTCCTCAGACCTGAGTCCCCTCATTTGGGGTTCAGTTATCAAAAGATGGGGGGAGGGGAGGAGCAGATGCTAGGGGGCAGGTGAGGGCAAAGTTAGCAAACTTTTTCTACACCCACTGAAACGTCCGTTCTGAAACTCATGCTCCTTGTTTGTAAATGAAGCATATTTTCTGCAAAACCAAAATATAATTAGGAAACTAAATCAGTTTGTGTTCATGATATATGAAGTGTCCCTCTAGCATAGAAAAAATGAAACTTTGAAGTTGTGCCCTTTAGATACTCATCATTAATTGTAGATCAGAGGTCAGCGAACTATGGCCCTCAGGCCAAACCCAGCTGGTTTGTTCTTAAAAAAAAACAGTTTATTGCCGCTACCACGCCTATTCCTTTACATATTGTTTATAGCAGCTTTTTGCACAACACTGAGGTTGAGTAATTGCCACCCAGACTGGGCCCATATGGCCTGCAGTGCCTCCAATATTTCAGATCTGGCCCCTTAGGGAAACGTTTGCCCATCCCTGGTGCAGAAGATGAGCTCCTGGATGGGTATCCGTGGAACGGAGGGTCACCCCACATTTGCTTCCTTCTGCCAGGCCATCACTAACCCTTTGCCCTCTCTCCTTTGCCAGACTCCGACCTGAGCATGCGCACCCTGAGCACGCCCAGCCCAGCCCTGATATGTCCACCGAACCTGCCGGGATTCCAGAATGGAAGGGGCTCCTCCACCTCCTCGTCCTCCATCACGGGGGAGACGGTGGCCATGGTCCACTCGCCGCCCCCGACCCGCCTCACCCACCCGCTCATCCGGCTGGCCTCCAGGCCGCAGAAGGAGCAGGCCAGCATCGAGCGGCTCCCGGACCACTGCATGGTGCACGTCTTCTCCTTCCTGCCCACCAACCAGCTGTGCCGCTGCGCCCGCGTGTGCCGCCGCTGGTACAACCTGGCCTGGGACCCGCGGCTCTGGAGGACTATCCGCCTGACGGGCGACACCATCAACGTGGACCGCGCCCTCAAGGTGCTGACCCGCAGGCTGTGCCAGGACACGCCCAACGTGTGTCTCATGCTGGAGACCGTGACGGTCAGCGGCTGCCGGCGGCTCACGGACCGGGGCCTCTACACCATCGCCCAGTGCTGCCCCGAGCTCCGGCGCCTGGAGGTCTCAGGCTGTTACAACATCTCCAACGAGGCCGTGTTTGACGTGGTGTCCCTCTGCCCCAACCTGGAGCACCTGGACGTGTCAGGTAAAGGGCAGCCGACTTCCCACCAAAGAGGCCATCCCAAGGCACCACCTGAAAACAGTTTGCCACGTTTGCCACCTTGTGAGGGGCCATTTCTTGATGACCATTAAAGATGGAGAGTAGCCTAAACCGGTTTGGCTCAGTGGATAGAGCATAGGCCTGCAGACTGAAAGGTCCTGGGTTCAATCCCCGTCAGGGGCATGTAACTTGGTTGCAGGCACATCCCCAGTAGGGGGTGTGCAAGAGGCAGCTGATGGATGTTTCTCTCTCTCGATGTTTCTGACTCTCCCTCTCTTTTCCTCTCTGTAAAAAATCAATAAAATATATATTTTTTATTTTTTTTTATTTTTAAAGATGGAGAGTAGGTGAGAAGGAGCTAACTTCCAGAGAAGCTATCGCTGTGTAATAATGATGCTGGAGACCAGGGATATCTCTTCCATCAATAATGTCCGCTTCTTAGGAGAACTAGGGGCATCTTTGGTCTGGCTCTCCCAAGTTAGCATGACTTTTCAATGTCTGTTCTCCCCATCACTCCCAGTTATTTCAGAGAAACCATTGGTCATGGGAACCAAGTATCCAACCACAGGACCAGGTCCTTATGTCCCTGGGTTATTGTTCTGTAGAGCCTGAGAGCTGTGCTGTGGGCCGTGCTCATGATTGCCATTTTGCAGACATTGGAGAAAACCTATCCTGGCCAAGTATTTTCTTATATTTCACCCCAAGTCTCCTCACATGTGGGTTGATTTTGTATCTTTCTTAAGCAAAACCCTCAAATTACATAAGGCCTACTGAGTTGGGGCCTTTAGTTCTTTTAAAACCTGAGGGAAATCCCAGCATGGCTGCTCTGCTCAAAAACCTCTTTCAGGCAGGAAGAATCAAAACCCAGACTCACCCTTTGGCGCCAGATGTGCATCTGGCCAGACTAACAGCTTCTCTTTATCTCATCTGTTGCCCAGTGAAAAGATGAACATTCGAGAAGCTAAAGTGTGTAAGATGCATCAGGGAGTTAAAGAAACGAACAGCAGGAGCCACAACCTTGGGGATAGTTGGGGAGGGGTCAAGAAGTAAAAACCACTGGGACCAGCAAATAAACAGAATTTGGGATTTACAAGCATCTGAGGTAAATGATACCCTGAAAAAAAAAAAAAATAGCAAAAAAAAAACCCTGAGGTAAAAGCCAGTTCTCTTCGTTTGCTTTCTCTTTCAAAAGCCGACATCTGAAAATATTTCAGATGACAGTCAATTACTTTTTGCAGATTCTTTCCCTTGCTGGCAAGCGACTGTTTGCTCCCCGCTTCAGCTGGCGTCAGTACAAAACCATAGTAACCGTATGTTCAGTCCTGAGCAGCCATCAGCATAATGAAGCAGGAAACCGAGAGGTTTTCTTACATTTTTTTTTCCTCCAAGGAATTCTGGAAAGAGAAAGCATTGTGATGTGGTGGAAACTAATTTCAAAACCTTGTGATTTGGGACAATTCGCAACTTCCTCTAGATGTCTTTCATCTTCAGTTAAAAAAAAAAAAAGACAAGGGATTGGATTCTAACATTCTAAGATTCTGGGCATTGTGGACCTCTTTTATAAACACCTCATTTTCTTTTCCTTCCTCCAATTAGAAAATGATTTCTTTTTGGAGCCCCCGTCTTCATTAAAAAGACTCCCCATACAGCTCTGATACAGGCTGCAAGCAATTGTGCCCTCTCTTTTGGAGTCCTATTGAAATTCAATGCAAAAACTACTTTGGCTAGTTAAGAATGGAAATACCTGGACTTCTAGCCTGAGCGAGTAGGTCCTGCTTAGCCCCTTTCACTAACTGGTATGTAAGTCTTAATGCCCTTCCTCTATGCAGTGTTTCCCAAACTTTTGACATATGTGTACCCCTTCTATAATTTTCGTAATGCTGAGTACCCCTCGTACTCATGAGATCGTAGAATTAGGTGCAGCTAAGCATGGTGCAGTGCATATCCCCATCAAACTCCAGTGCAACATTACCCCCACCAAACTCTTCCCGTACCCCTGGGGTACGCGTACCACACTTTGGGAAACACTGCTAGTAATCTGACTTTTTGGAAGTCCATCTGTATTTGTATAGGGCCCCATATGTCTCCCAAAGCCTTCCTGTAATATGTGTACATCAAGCATGTCAAACTCAAAGGCTAACACGGACCAAATAAACAAGGTTTAAGTTTATGTGGGCTGCAAAAAAAAAAAAGCTTCAATATTCATAGGAACATAGGTGTATTTTGAAAAGTATAGTATATAAAAAACAAAAAGAATAAGAATAATGATAACATTAATGTTTTCTTCCTGACACTTGGCTTCTCTTCGTCTGCTCCTATCTTTCCTACTTCAGGGGAAATCTTGTTTGCAGTGATTACTTTCCAAACTGAACCACAGTGAATGTCCATAATTCTGGATCTGGCAGGAGACGTACTTCCTTTCATAATTGTAAATAACTGCTCACACCATTATATTGGCTGGGCCACATGTGGCCTGAGGGGCACGAGTTTGACATGCTTGGTGTACATAGAGCCCATAATGAGGGGAATTTGTAACTTGCCAAAATACAGAATTTCAGATATTGGCCAGGGGAGGGGGGGGGTTTCAGGTAGATGGACTTGAAAGATCTAACAAGCCATAGGATGAATTTGTTATCAGAGAGGTGCCCTACATTTCTGAGAGAATCTGCGAATTGCCTTATTGATACCGGGAGCAGCCAGAGGGCTGCCAGAGGTGATCTCATCTATATCTTGTTCTCCTTGGTTCTTACAGCTGGCCTCTGACAGTGGCCACTTTCTCAAAGGCAATAAATAAGCTTGACTGTGGAAGACTCATTGCTGGCCTAGATCTTAATTCCCCCTGGGGACATGAGAGACTTCCTCTCCCATCCCAGCAATGCAGAAAATGCCCATCTTGAAAGTTATCTTTTCGAGTCTTGAAAATAACTATAACTAGCTGTAGTGTTTCCTTAATTATCACATATCACCTTTTATAAATGTTTAACCAGGGTTCTCCAGAGAAACAGAACCAACAGATGATCAGGCATTGAGAAACTTTGCCGTAGTCTGGCTGTATAAATAACACTCTCACTGAGGCTGAGATGTCCCCTCTTTAAAAAACAAAGATTATATAGGATGATTTCTAAGGTTCTCGCTGTGTCTGTAATGTATGACTGCATGAAATAGCCGTAGATATCACCTACGGAGCCATGGACCAGTTTCTTTTCAACCCAAACTTAGCAGATCTGAAAAAATTAAGACTAACATTAAAATTAAAAATTATTGATCTAATGTAATATAAGCATATCACAATAGTTTATTTACCAAAACTGAGCTAAACCGGTTATTTCATTAAATTTGGAACTAATTTTTAAAAACAATGCCTAAATTTCCTTGGACCAACTACAGTATCTTTCCTGGATTTTGCTAGATATTTTAACTATTTATGGAACAAAGTTTGTCATGTACTCTTGAAAAACAAAATACCTTCCCAGGTGTCAGAGACAGGCAGTCACTACAGTGTACACATAAATTCAGTAGAAGCAGGAGTACAGTCAACCTAGAAAAAGAAACTCAAAACAAAGGAAGTTTTCAAATCCAAAGTTCAGAGATACCAACCGGGGAGCCCGCTGGAGCAGCATGGGCTGCCTCTGACGAGTCGCATCTTTGTTCTCCAGTGTTGCATTGTATGCTTTACTTCTTCCTGAGATTCTTTGACTTGGTAGCACGTGGCTTTTGAGCCATGTTATTCCCAGGACCTGAATTTTACACGCATTTCCTGGGCAGCCGGCCAAAAAGTGGTAGGAAAGTCTCAGCTAGCACTCTTGTGCAGCTGCTTGGAAGTCTTGGATGTAAGTGAGAAACACAGAGGTGCCCAAGGTGAAGCACCTGGCTGAACACATGCCAGAGGGATTCGGGTAGAGCAGAGAGAAAGTGGGCAGTCTATGTAATGTAATAAACTATATCTACATATGCATTTATTTATATACTATATAGACTATTCATACCAATTATTTATACTTACACACTAAAAATATACTCTGCATTTTTACATGGTAACATATAGTGAACTTAATTACACAATGAAATAAGTGTTTCATATATTATACACTGAGTGGCCAGATTATTATGATCTCTGAATGCATAATAATCTGGCCACTCAATGTGTGTGTGTGTGTGTGTGTGTGTGTGTGTGTGTGTGTGTATATATATATATATATATATATATATATATATATATATATATTAGAGGCCCAGTGCATGAATTTGTGCATGGGTTGGGTCTGGCCAGCCTGGCCAGGGGGGAGGGGACATGGATGGTTGGCTGGCCTGCTTGCTGGTCAAGCTCCTGGTCGAGGGTACAATTTGCATATTAGCCTTTTATTATATAGGATATACACTGAGTGTCCAAATTATTATGCATTCATAGATCATAATAATCTGGCCACTCAGGGTTTATAAGTATATAATAATGATATATAGTGTAAATATGAATATAATCCATACACATGCATGTTCTTGGGGGGGGGGGGAAGGATTAGAAACAATGCTTAGAGAGGCATCAAAAGAAATCTTTCTGAACTTAAATTTCCATATCTATAAAACGGACTGTTTCAAAAATCAGATAAGAAAATGTTTATAAAAACTCTCTGTAAACTTCATAATTCAACACATATAAAAGGCATTATAATAAAATATAGACAACTGTTTTACAATGTAAGTATACATCAGCCAGGATTGAGGTTTTGAGGACATTTAAATGTAAGAAATTGGATTCTTCTACCTGATCTGCCTATAGAAGACTCTATTCACTCTATAGGTCATTCATTTGTTCATTCTACAGATACTTAGCACCAATGTGATGCAGATGTGAGGGAAACAGCAATCAACAGCCCAGAGTCCCTTTTCTCAGGAGCTGACATTCCAGAGTGGGACAAAGTGACAGAGACAGAGCGCTGTGAATGAATGGGAGCCAGGCAGGGGAGACTGGGTCACACAGGGTAATTACTGGTAGAGAAGAATTACCCAGTAAACTGACAGGTGCTGAGAGACCTAAGGAAGTGGGATGGGCTCATGGAGATCTGAGGGAGCCCAGTTCAGGACATGGACCTGAGGCAGGAGAGAATGTGACAAGTCTGCAAAGAAGCAAGGCGGCCAGTAGGTTCGAAGGAGCAAGTGCTACACTCAGAGTGCACAGGGGGCAAGTCCTTGAGGCCTCTAAGACTGTATTTTATTCTGGGGTATGAGTATCACTCAGAGGCTTTGAGCAGTGACATGATTACAGTTCTGTTTTCTATAATCTTTCTGGCAGCTGTGAAGAGACTAGAAGGTCAGGGTGAGGCAGGACAGGGAGACTATGTGAGAGGCTAGAACCGTGGTGGGCAACTTGTGGCTCACAAGCCACATGGGGCTCTTTGGTCCCTTGAGTGTGGCTCTTCCACAAAATACCACGGCCTGGGTGAGTCTGTTTTGAAGAAGTGGCATTAGAAGAAGTTTAAGTTTAAAGAAATTTGGCTCTCAAAAGAAATTTCAATCATTGTACTCTTGATATTTGGCTCTGTTGACTAATGAGTTTGCCGACCACTGGGCTAAAACAATAATCCAGATGACACGATTATTCTTCCTTCACCCAAAAGGATTGAATTGAATCCCCAGATGGTCACCTTGTTAGACTAATAACTACTTGTATTTCCCATAGAGTATTCAGAGTATGTCCCTATTCATTACCTGGCTGCATCCGCATTTTATCCCCTATATTGGAGGCACACCAGCTGTCCATTCCTGTTATAAGAGAGTCTTGAGGTAGAAAAGTTAAGCCTCTTGCCTGAAACCATAAGAAATAGACTTGAATCATGTGTGGCTCCCAGTCAGAGCTCTTTCAGCCAAACCGAGGTCTGGGCCAAGCCTCCTTCTCTCTCATCTCACACTTCTTTGGACCAGAGAACTACCAGGCCACTATGGGGAAGAAGTAGCCTTTACTCAGCTCTCAGGACCAGGACAAGGTACTTGCACGTCTCATTTCTTCTTCACAGCTACCTTTTAGGGACCGTCAATATCCCCATTTTAAGACAAAGGAAATACTCAAAAGGCTTGACTTGCCCAATGTGTACCCAGTAGAGATGGACCTGGAATTAGAACCATGACTTTTCTGATTCTAAAGCTCGAGAACCACCCCCTTAAACTCAAATAATCAAAATAGTTTTTTGATGTTTGTTTTTTAATCAATGAACAGGGAGAACCCATCCTTGCTTTCCTTCTCTGTGGGGCCCAGTAGGGAAGAGGATCGGGCTGGGGGAGGGCAGGAAGCTATGACATCCCCACCCAGGGCAAGCCCCCTTCCCCTGCCCTCCATCCCCGCGGTTGCTCTGAGCCTGTGTTCTGTCTCTCTGTGTAGGGTGCTCCAAAGTGACCTGCATCAGCTTGACCCGGGAGGCCTCCATTAAACTGTCCCCCTTGCATGGCAAACAGATTTCCATCCGCTACCTGGACATGACGGACTGCTTCGTGCTGGAGGACGAGGGCCTGCACACCATCGCGGCGCACTGCACGCAGCTGACCCACCTGTACCTGCGCCGTTGCGTCCGCCTCACCGACGAGGGCCTGCGCTACCTGATGATCTACTGCCCGTCCATCAAGGAGCTGAGTGTCAGCGACTGCCGCTTCGTCAGCGACTTCGGCCTGCGGGAGATCGCCAAGCTGGAGGCGCGCCTGCGGTACCTGAGCATCGCGCACTGCGGCCGGGTCACCGATGTGGGCATCCGCTACGTGGCCAAGTACTGCGGCAAGCTGCGCTACCTCAACGCGCGGGGCTGCGAGGGCATCACGGACCACGGCGTGGAGTACCTCGCCAAGAACTGCACCAAGCTCAAGTCCCTGGACATCGGCAAGTGCCCCCTGGTCTCGGACACGGGCCTGGAGTGCCTGGCCCTGAACTGCTTCAACCTCAAGCGGCTCAGCCTCAAGTCCTGCGAGAGCATCACGGGCCAAGGGCTGCAGATCGTGGCGGCCAACTGCTTCGACCTGCAGCTGCTCAACGTGCAGGACTGCGAGGTGTCGGTGGAGGCCCTGCGTTTCGTGAAACGCCACTGCAAGCGCTGCGTCATCGAGCACACCAACCCTGCCTTCTTCTGAAGGGACGGCTCCCGGCCCTGCAGGTGCCGCTTTCCTGCAAACATGAACAGGAGGAAGTGTGTGTGTGTGTGTGTGTGTGTGTGTGTGTGTGTGTGTGTGTGTGTGTGTTTTAAGGCAGCCATGTAAGCACCGACACCCGCTCATAACAGCTCTTTTTTCCAGGAAGGGTCTTAGGCATCTGGCTTGTGTTTTCTTCTACTGTCTCTGGGGCAACAGAGGTCATGGAAAGGAAGGGGTGGGGTGGGCAAAAGGTCTTTTGCAGGGAAAGGGTTTTGTAGGTCAGGTCAGGTAGTTGGCAAGGAAATCTCTGTGCTCACAGAAGATGTACCTCAGAAAGCTGATTCGATGGCTTTGGAAGCATCCCCTTCTGTCTCTGTCTCCTCCTGATCCCATTTCCAGGGTCCTACACCCCCACCCCTCATTTCCTGGCTTCTCTGCTTCCAACAGCAACCATAACACATTATCAGAGTAATGATGCTCTCCTCACCTCCTCCCCCTTAAACTGCTTGATTGGCCTAAGCCACACTCTACAATCCCACACCCAAGCAAATTCTTGTTAAATCCATGCCACAGCGCCTGGTGGGTACAAAGTACTTGCAAACCTGTTTAGAGAATCTCTTGCATCAAGCAGCATGGTGCAAGAGGAAAGACCTGCATTTGCCCCCAACTCTGCTGCCAGTGGGCTCTGTGATGTCAGGCAAAGCATCTGACAGCCCTGGGCTTCGGCTGCCAGCATTAAATAAGAAGCCATCCAGCTCCAGGATTGGCTTCATGCCCAGGTTAGGACTGAGGGAATCGAGATGTCAATGAACAGAAGTACTTTAGCCTAGAGCAGTGGTCGGCAAACTCATTCGTCAACAGAGCCAGATATCAACAGTACAACTATTGAAATCTCTTTTTTGAGAGCCAAATTTTTTTAAACTTAAACTTCTTCTAATGCCACTTCTTCAAAATAGACTCGCCCAAGCCGTGGTATTTTGAGGAAGAGCCACACTCAAGGGGCCAAAGAGCCGCATGTGGCTGGCAAGCCACAGTTGGCTGACCACGGGCCTAGAGCACAAGAGGCATCTGCTACCTCTACCAAGAGTGTAAGTCCTATGGATGCTTTCAGAAGATTCAGAAGTGCCGACTCTAGTATCCTCTATGCCCTTCACACCATTCCAAGTATTATCCCCATCCCTGTTTGTTTGGATGGGTGAGTCTCTTGGGCATCTTCTCCCATCCTGCTAGATCACCCACTTCCTACCACCAAGACATTCCTAGCCACAGCAAAAGCCCACATCCTTCAGTCAAGCTGATCTTTCAGAGAGTTTTCAAATGGAGGAAAGGCCCTCACAGTTTTTAACTAACAAGCAAGGCCCAAAAGAGCACATGTCCTGCAGTGCACATGTGGCCTGCATCAGGCACATCTGCCCTGCAGCTGGCAGGAACAGACACCTTGGTTCGTTGTCATTCAGATCACATTTCTACTTTTCTCATCTATTTATTTCTTCGTGCATCCAGACTCCACCGCATGAAGCCCGCTGGAGTTAAGTCAAAGTGTTTCGTTGTGCAGATTGCCACCTTGTGTGCCTTCCCCTGTGGCCGTCTGCATGTTCTTTGTCAAAGAATGCAGGGCAGGCTTCCAGGTGTTCATATACTGTTCACTCGAAAATGCCAGGCAAATGAAGAGGGGACATGTTGATAAGGCTTTTGGCATTGGTTCACCCGCCAGGCCCTTGGAATAAAACATTCAAATAACTGCCAAGTATAAATTTTAAATGGTCCTATTTGGATAGAAATCCATTTGCTAGCCTCATTCATGTGAAATCAGGATGCCAGGAGGAATTCCATTGCTTATTTTCATGTAATTGAGTTGCCTTTTGTTAATAAACACATTATCTTTCCCAAATTATGCTCTGGCCGTGCCCCTCCTTCATCACTGTTCAAACCACTCATCCTTTCTTCCTGAAAGTGTCCTCCATCCAAACCCAGAACCTCTGCATCAACAAGGCAAGCATGTGGAATTTGTCTCAGATCAAGCTTACACACCACTCGACAACTGCACTCCCACTGTAGGCTCCCTGCTTTCCTTTGTCTTGTGTTGGGAAAGAGATAGAGTGAGGTGGTGTCTGCCCATGCAACATATGAAATATGGTCTTCTCTTCAGTCAACATCGTCAACAACTTAGATGTGCAATCAAGACCATGGGATTGGATGGGGTGGGGGATGAATTGTTTGGCTGGGGATAGTACTTAGTGATAGCCATAGAGCTTAGCGCCATAATAGGGGTTGAAGATAGCATTCCCCTGCTCTGTGACTTGTGACCTTGTCTAAAGTCTCAGAATTTGAGTAACAAAGGATTGTTCCTAACCCTTGGCACTGTGGTCTTCCAAGTGAGCTGTTTTCATACTCACAGAATTAAATAGGAGATCCAAAATGGTTCCCTGAACCAGAGAACGGAAGTCGCAATACAAATATTTTTATCACCACCACTTAACCACATCATCAAAACTGTCTTCCAAACATGAGACAAAAACCAACTTCCATACTGATTGCCCAGCACATACTGTCTTTCCCAGTTTCTCCCTTTTTCTCTGCCTTCTTTTTCATTCTGCTTCCCCTTAGGGTATGAATCCATGACAGAGGTTACTGGGGAAATCGCTCAGCAGATTTTTAGAGACCAAACAAAAGGCCTCATAGGAAATTTATCTGTTTTAAAACTGCTTCCTTCCTGCCTCTGCTAAATTGAATGCTCATTGTTGTTGTGTTTTTTTTTTAATTCTAATGTTCAAATCACTGCGTGCTGTATGAATCTAGAAAGCCTTAATTTACTACCACCAAGAAATAAAGCAATATGTTGGTAATTGGGTCAAGCCTCATTTACTATCCTGGCTAGAGGAGCATGATGTTCAGATGGGACACTCAAAAGTGAGCAAGAAACTTGCCTTATGTTGAAGTGGAGAGCAAGCCAGGTCACTGCAGCTGCTGTCCCTGTGAAGTTGCATCCACAGTTTTGTCATTTCCCTTGGCTCAGTGACTTTGGCTGAAAATTAGCAAGTAAGTGAAAATCTTTACCTTTCCAGTTTAATTTACATCTTAATTCCTTAATCCACATTTGCAGCCAGATGTATTTTGGAATTCATAATTTTTTACATTTTACAAAGCTATCTGGCATATTTTGTAACAGCCCTGGCAGACTCTGGCACAGCACCCTTACTCAAACATGCTAATATTTCTGCATAAGATTATTGCAAACTCTAAATAGCTTGCATCCCTTCAGGTCAGGTTCTATCACCAAATTAATTGGTGCCAAACATAATGGGGTAAAAAAATTCTATTTTTTCAGATCTTTCTAGATCAGAATTATGGCTAAGTAATTGTGCACCTAAATGTTATTCTCCTGGCACCAGTTACAAACATTGGAAACATCTTCAAAATTATGTTGACCATTAGTTGTTATAAGTTTAAAAAAAAAATTTTTTTTTAAGTCTTAGAGCATTAACACCTGAAAGGTTAATATGGCAGATCGATCTAAACAGAAAAAAATATCAATCAGCTGGAAAAAGAGAAATGCCAAACCTCTGTTCAGCCAAACCCTTAGATCTGAGAGATCAATATGGTAGAAAGCAAGTACTGAGAGATGAAAGTCAAATTTCATCATTAGCAAGTAAAAAGGTTTTAAGAGATATCAATTTTAAATCTATTTGTCCTCAACCTTCTTATCACCCTATGTCAGCTGCTTAATGACTCCCATTTAAACCAATAGGACTGTTAACGTTCAGAGCATTAACTTGAAGTAGCCCTTAATCTTATTGTGCAGTCTCATTAAGATCCCAGAATAAGGCTAGCAGTAAATTAAATGCATTTGTCCTTTACATTTACAATTGTTCAGAAGTAGAACATGTTTTCAAAAAGTTTGGTATCCAGGAACATGCAACATGAAACCAAAAAGATGGAGTGTTTTAAGGGAAAAAGTAAAACATTGCTTTTACCATGTCTAAATTTTCACAGAGAAGTAACCAAAAGTGGTGCATTTGTTCAATAACTGGCAATGATGGTTAGTTCAGAGACAAATTAATTTGATAAAATACTAAATAGACAGTAGAGAGAATATTTAAAGACTAGGTAAATATTGCCGTGAAAACATTCATGCAGAAAATCTGTGAAACAAATTGGTTTTCCAGGTGCTGCTAAACAAATGGTTTCTTTTTTATTCATACACAAGTGGTCCTTACTGTTCCAGGAAGGAGATGGGGACAATGGATGCTGATGCTGTCATTGAGACTTACCTGAACAAAGAGCAACTCAGAAGGGTTCAGTAAGATGACCACCAGGTGAGCAAACCTGTTCACATGGGGAAGAAATCCTAATATATAAAAACGCAGGGTCCATAACTACCAACCAAGGCTCAACCGAATACTGGAAGTCAGTCCTACAATCAGTGCTGCGTCGCCCCAGCAACCCAGCACTGACTACCGTTGCCATGGGTGTGGTGATCCAGCACTGACTGCTGAGGGGTATCCTTTTTAAAGGATGAGGACATTCTATGAAAACAACACTGAAGCATCATTTCTTGGACAAATTCTATGAGCCTCAGAGCATTTTGACTTCTCCCACATAGCATATTCAATAGCACTCCGCACAACTGTGACCTGTGATCATGATTTTCCCTGAATCAAGCTTAGGGGGAGGGTGACAACAGCTCCCGTCTTCAATGATCCTTTGATTCTTCAGCTAGCATGGCTGCTCTTTTGTATCATTCTAATTGGTATGAATTTAGGATGGGAATGGTCAAAATAATTGAGGTTTCCCAACTTACCATGTCCTTTTATTGAAAACCAAGACTATGTCAGTAATTTAAGTAGGTAGCCCAAATAAGATTGATTAGGTAGCCTGCAAAATTGCCAAGAAACTGATTTTACTTGTAAACCCATTAAGGTTGAGTTCTTTGAAACCTCAAATTTTATCTGGGTGTGACTGTGAAACTTTCTGCCCACAGTGACAGTAAACTAAACGAT